ACACACACATCCCTCCTTCTTCCTTTGTGGATTCAGCCAACGCAGTAGTGGCGTGGAGGAGGAAGGCCGACGAAGGAGAAGAAGGGGAAGAAGAAGGAGGTACTGATTTTTGGAAGCAAAAACCCCGTCTGTCCACTTTGGGCAGTATTTTGATCGTGTTCAACTCACTGTTTGGTCATGGTTTCTGGACCAAAGTTGTAGCCCTGCGAGTCGGTGAACCACAACCGCAAACGGTTTCTCAATCGGACGAGTAACGAAGGCGATACATCAATTCTACAAAACTGGTCTAGTGGCGACGGAAAACACGAGGTTTGCAACTTCTGTCTTCATTCTCGTTCCGACTCATCCAATCCGCTATTCGTTGGGTGCGTGCCGACTAACCACAGCCCTTGTAACATATTCACGAGAAGAAACCGAAACACAAGAAGCCGTTAGGAAGTTGGAAGGCCAATAGCCTCTATCTTTGTAACAGCCTTATAATCATAACGTCGTAATTTAAATCACACGAGACGACTTAAATAATCTTTAGGGCCTATTGTTCTTGATATAATATAGATATGGAATCATAATTTGGCTTCTAGGACTTACTTATATTCAACAAGAGGTACTTGGATTATCAACCATATTAAATTATATGTTTTCACATGGACTCCAGACTAAAAGCCTTTTAAGGATAGCCCAGTAGTACCCATTTGGGTTACCATTAGCAACCTTCCTACTCATTTCATTTCTTACAAAGCTTTTTTCACCATAGCAAGCATCATGGGGAGCCCTGCTTCATATATTTTCAGACAGTCAATCTTATTTGTACTAAAGAGGCTAGAGGTTCCATTGAAATTTATTTATCCAAACCACTCCCCCCCCCCTAATATTCATTTGAGAATTGGTCCTAGAGATCTCATTCTCAAATGCCACTTCGAGGATGTTCCAGGATACTGCAACATTTGCCATAAATTGGGTCCACCAAAATGTAAATGCAAAATCCATGGTAAAAGGTGCAATGGTAAAAAGGTGTCTTTCAGTTCTACATTTACTGAGCCTTGGACAGAAGTTAAAGGTAAAAAACAAGGGCAGAAAATGATGGATTCATCCTCCTCTAAAAGGGTACCCTTGTTAGAATAACTGCCCTTCACTAGAGGGGGGGGGGGGTGAATAGTGAGGCACGAGAATGTTAATAAATTTTCGCAAAATAAAAATCGCAAGGATAAAGTACAGGGCGGAATATAATGTACAATAAGTGCCTTTCATTAGAGGGGGGGTGAATAGTGAGGCACGAGAATGTTTATAAATTTTTGCAGAATAAAAAAGCGTAAAGGGAGCACACCAAGATTTATACTGGTTCACCACAACGTGTGGCTAGTCCAGTCTCTCGAGAGACTCTCTCGAGCTACACTACTTCCGTTAAGCTTACGCGTGCTCAAGAAACTGTTACAACCTGAGAACTCGAGTCCCACGAGCCTCAATACACTTGCTCGGAGATACCGCACTCCAAGATTTCAACCCGAAGGAATATGTCATTCCTTCGTACAACCAAGGGAAACAAGCTTCCCATAACGTGTATACAACGCTTAAAACACTCAAGAACAAATACTCTCTTTTAGAGTAGATATTGAGTAAAATATAAACGCTCAAGAACAACTCAAACTTCAAGCAATTTGGCTCTAGAAAGCTATGGAAAAAGATGTTATATGAATGCAACGATAATGTGTGTAATGTGAAGTGAATTCATTATGTAATGCAGACCTAAACACCCCTTTTTATAGTGCCAAAGTAGGCTCCAACGGATCAAAGCATTAAAGGGGTGATTAGCATGATTTGTGGGATTGATATTAAAATGTGGATCTGCAGGAAATCAGCTTACCCAGTGATGTATGGAGCTACCCATCGCTGGTAAGCTAATTTTCCTTCAGTTTTAAAAACAACGGTCACCTACCCATGGATGGGTACCATCGCTGGGTGGGAGGTTGACTTTCAAACAAGGAAAGAATCAGGCTTAAATGCTTTACAACGGTCATGCCTACCCATGGATGGGTATGTCCTCCCATCGCTAGGTAACCAGCGATGTGTACAAGACCCCATCGCTGGGTAGGGCCATTCTGCCTCGTGTTGATATTGAACCAAGGCTTGTACAGCGATGGGTGGAACTCCCCATCGCTGTGTGGCATGGTTCTGGGATCCAGCTGAGCTAAAGGCCGCTTACCCATCAATGGGTAATATCTCCCATCGCTGGGTAACATGGTTCTGGAATCCAGATTCACTTACCCATGGATGGGTAATATCTCCCATCAGTGGGTGGCATGGTACTGGAATCCAGGATCACTTACCCATGGATGGGTAATATCTCCCAGCGCTGGGTTGATGGCTAGTCCAGAAACCTATTGTTTTTGCCTGAACCATGGCCTAGCCGACCGGTGCTGAAACCCGGCCGATACTAAAACCCGATCGATAAAATGTGAAGTTCTCCAAAATAAAAATCAAGTGTTTAAAACACTTATTTAATGTATTATGATGTCAAAACAAGCTTTGTAAGTTAAAAACCACGTCGTTAAGGTAAAAACCACGGTTGACCAAGTCCACGCCGTACACGGGTGGTTTTTACCAAAAGACAAAACCGAAAGGTGGTTTTCATGATGTTTTGATTGGAGAATCATTTAAATGCATTCAAAAACAATTCCCAAACAAAAGGACTCGATAACCACGTGGTTGGTTTGAATGCCGAAAACCAACGCCGATAGCCGTTTCGCATGGTTTTTACCAAACGGCCAAAAACGAAAGGTGGTTTTTGAAGTATTTTTGTTGAGGAACTATTTAAATGTACCCAGAGATAAAAACCAATCATAAAAAGTTGAAAACCACTTGGTTTGTTTGGATGCCAAAAACCAACGCCGGTAACCGAATGCCGAACGCCGGTTTTTGAAAACCGAATGCCGGTTTCTGAAAGCCGAACGCCGGATGGCTTGGTTTTTGGTTTGGGCGAACACCAAGTGTTTTTAATATGTTTAAACATGTTTGAAAATCATTTTGATGATGTGTGAAATGCAATGAAAAATGTTTTAGCCTAAAGAGCTAAAGTGCAAAGCGTGGGTTGGTCTTGATCACATTGTGACTGACTCAACGACACTAAAGACTACGGTCTTCGTTCTTGGTCTCTTTTAGTTCTTGTTCTCTTTCTTCTCATCTTTATTTCTCGCCTTGTATATTCAACAACTTTTCTCGTTCGCGGTTTGGAATTATCAAAACCTGTCATAAAAACGAACACGGCTTTAGTACGATAACGTGATAGACCCGTGTTTCAACAATTTCCCCCTTTTTTGATAATGGCAAACAAGACGGGGTTATGCATAGGAGGATTGTTTTGAGACTTTAAAAATATTGATACTTTTGAAAAATATTCCCCCTTAATAAATGCAACGAGGTTTATGTTTTGAACAAGAGTTAATTTTTATATTTTAAATAATCTGTGCCTTACAAAAAGTTCTCCCTCAATCTGTGCATAACCCATATATCTTCCCCCTTTTGACATTAACAAAAAGATCTAAGAAGTAAACTTTTATTCATTAAAAGGGAATTGCAGAATACAACGGATAAGACTAAAAATACAATCATATTTAAAAAAAGGAAAATAAAGAAGAGGTTGTGGCGTCGGTGTTGGCCTTCTTCTTTGAAGCCTCGGTTTCGGTCCTCGACTTTCCTCTGGCGTTGAAGCGTTTTTAGAAGAAGTGAAGAATAATGGAGAATAGACTCAAGGAATGCCTTTTGAACTGCAGCAGGCTTCCTAGCGATGTACCTAGCTACCCATCGAAGGGAAGACTACTGAAAATGGAGGGAAAAAAAAGCAGCCTTCCCAGCGATGTGAAGGTTCTCCCTTCGCTGGGTACGGGGTACTCGAAATCCGTTAAAAATTTTAAAAAAAGTGTCAAACACCCATCGATGTGAAGAAGTTCCCATCGATGGGAGAGAGGCTGCTGGTTAGAAAATACTACCTTCCAACCGATGGGATAAACCACCCATCGTTGGTTCCCCCTGAGTTACTCACTTCGAGACGTTCCTTTCTGGACAACGATGTTAGCATGGTTCCCCCTGATTTCTGTGCTTGTTGCTTACCTAGAAAACAACACTTTGGTACCCAAAATATGTCTATGGGTCCTTGGGGGTTAATTAATTTTTATTGCCCAAAGGTTGGAGTTTTCGCTTGGAAACTCTTTAAACACTGCCTCCCTATACATGTGAATCTACAGAGATTAGGGTTCCATCTGCCCTCAGTTTGTCCTTTTTGTAGGGCAAATTCATTTGACTCCAAACATGTTCTCATTGATTGCCCTAGGATTGAAGGAATCTGGCAACATTTCTCAACCTGTCTTGGTTTAAGGCACATTATTTCTTCTTCCACCAATCAATATTTCATGAATTGGTGGTTGAGGGGTCATAACACCAGCATTTATGGTTTTCTTTGTATGCATCTCCCGGGGATTATCTGTTGGCACATTTGGAAGGAACTAAATGTTATCATTCATGAGGAAATGGCTATTAGCAAAAATTCCTAAGAATCTCAAATCTGCAGATGCTTGGCTTACAGCAACTGGTTTGCTGCCAGTTCTCTGGGGTTGGTAAGATTTAGGTGGTTTAGTGGTTAGCTCCTCCAAAGCGGGCGTCTCAAGCTCAATATTGGTGCATCCTTCTCTTCCAAATTCAAGCGTGGTGCTGCAATTCTTCGTGACGAGGAGGGAAGATTCATTTGCACAGCCTCTTTCCAAGTCGCATGCTCTTCCCCATATTAGGCAGAGCTTGATGCTTCTATCAAGGGTATTAAATGGGCTCTTACCTTTCATTCTCTACTCGTGTATGAAACGGATGCTTTGGAGATTTTGAGAAACTCGGAAACTATTTCCATTTTGCTCATTCTCCATTTCCTATCGACATCTTGGCTACACTTATTTTTGAGAATGACATTTTGAAGTCACATACCCTTCATGAGGTAACCATCCTGCAGATCTTTTAGATAAAGACAGAGATAAAAATTGTCTTTTTATTGATTATTGTAATTTTAATGAGTGTCCTTCGTCTGTAATGGCCTCTCTTAAGAATGAGTGAATTCCTTCTTTTCGTTTTCATTAATAAAATCATTCTTTTCTGCTTAAAAAAAATATAATAATCAATAACCTTTAAAGACATCTCAGATCGGGCAATGCCATAATATGACATTAACCATTAAAATATCATTTCTTTTAAAATTATACGAGTATTATTTTTAAATTGGTATGAAAATAGAAATAAAAGTTACATTTTTCAAAAAGTACACTAAACGTTTTATAAAACATGATGTGAGAAAAACATTTTATTTTATTAAATTATAAAATGAAAACACAAATAAACAAAAATTCTCGAAAATCCAAAATATTAACCCGAAACTTAATTTGTGGACAGGAAGTATTACGGAGTATTAAACAATATGCTTATAATGGGTAAGAAATACACGTCTAACAAAACAAAATAATATTCCCTCCATCATAGAATTAACATCTTATTTGACTTTTCACGGTCTCCAGTGTAACATTTTGACAACTAATAACTCTATTTTTATATAAATACATATTATAAAAATAATATATTTCAAAATGGATCTATTTATAATACATTTATATGAAAAAATTTGACTACAAAAGTCAAACTGGAAAGTTAATTTTAGAACGTAGAGAGTATTAAAAGAAGGTTCTCTATTGTTGCATTAAGATTACAATAGACTACCTTAACATATTCAGTCTTTGCACCAACTTCAGCCACACCCTTACACTCCGACCCAAATAATACTTGGCCACTAGCGGTTGCTTTGGTTTTCAACCGGTAAAACACAGAGAAATATCTTTCACCTTTTCTTTGGAGACTTTCCCCATCTGAATCCTCATTGATCTTTTTCACGGACTTGAGGATTTGCTCCAGGTCACTTTGTTGTTCATTTTGATAGTTGCTACTTGCTAAAGCATCGCTTTGGATTGGGGTTAATGGCGGCGAGACTCAGTACTCTTCGGAGAACATCTTTACAAAACCTTGCAAGTTTTGTAAAGATATTTTTTTGAAAGACTCTTGAGTGATTCCAAAGTGATGCTTTAGAATAATCAAAATGAGCAACAAAATGACCTGATCAATGAAAATATGTCAATTCATATTCAGAGGGAAGAAATCCTTGATGAAAAGGCAGAGATATATCTTGCGCTCAACCGGATGAAAACCAAATCAACCGCTAGTGGCCTAGTGTTATTTGTGTCGGAATGTAGTGGGGTGACTGAGGTTCGTGAAAACAAAACCAACCACAAACAGCTCTTCTAATTAACAAATCAAACTAACCCCACGCCCCCTCCCCGCCTAACTGTGCATAGTCAACAAGCATTTGATTGACAAACAAATAAACGGGAGTTAATGACTACCTGACAATGTACACATGCAACGGCTATTCAGGAGCCGGTTAAACATTTCTACAATCACCTGCTAGTCTCTTATTCCTCAAAAGAACTGCTTTCAGTACTTGAATCATCGTCTTCGCTTGAACTAGATGTTGTCTCAACAGCAGACCTAAAGCAATCGTTTGAAGATCGTCAGCGCAAGAAAGAATTGAATATATTTGTTATCGTAGCTTCCTTTTTTCATTAATGGCAAAAAAAGTTTTTTTGCTCAAACAAATAAATCATGGCCATGCATAAACACTTATGTATACAAAAAAAACTAAAGGTGTAATATTTCGTACACACAACACTAGTAAATATCAATAATATGAACTCATCTTGAACTCGTGGCATTCAGCATGCAAGTTGACAATACCTAGACTGAAAATTTTAAATTTATCTCACTATTCTTTCATCAAAAGGTTGCGACAGGAAGGACAGCCTACCATAAAACATGGACACTACTTTTTTTAATGCAAGTTAGTGTCAACTAATTTTAGTCCGTTAAATGGCATCTTTACTGTCACTGTGAGGATTTAGCTATTTTCTTGCTTTCTCTCATCGCCCTAACTTTTTTTTTCACTACACTTTTCCTTAGCCTTGGGCCTTCACGCAAACATCATCTCTGCTACTCCAAGAGGTAGATGTTTCGTCTACGTACATCCCTACATTTCACATCTCAAAACCCCTATTTATGAGATACAAGGATATGCTTTGTTCGATATACACTGTTAATTCACAATAGAAAAATCATGATGACAAGCTCAACGTAGTTAAGATTAAGGTGATAGTGATCATGATGCTATTAACATAAATCTAATACAGTCAATTGTTGTAAGACGTATGCCGTACTACACCATTCAAACAATGAATAGAAGTTGAGCTGCCTGTCTGAATATTTGCAGTTCTCCCAACTTAAAAAAAGAACTTTTTCCAGCAATATATGTCCTGAATCTACCAAACCCACGTGGTGCCCACCAAGAATCAAGAGCAAGGCATGTCTTTAATGCATGTCATACAATATAATGATACAACTCTTTCATCACATGTACTATGTACTTCTCATTGAAAGTGAGTTTAAGCTCAAACCTTCCCCCTTGATGAATTGTCTGTATTCCTATCAATTGGACATTCCTTGCAAACTCTGGACTAGACATGTAATTGCTAATCCTCTTAACATCCTGCTCATTTTAGAAAAGCACTGCTAAGAAGCACATCTAGTGCTAAAGACTGCTGGAAAAACAATTACGAAATATTGCCGTTAATAATCCGAACATTGGGCGATCAACCAAGAATAATCTAGACTTCAACCCATTCCAGAAGTAATCCGAACTTAAACACCTTCCTCAATTTATGCATCACAAATTAACATCATTTGTTCTCCGTTAAGACTGCTTAAAAATATAATCCAAACTTTGAGTAGTCAACCTACAATAATCCAAATTTCAACTCTTCAGTATAAATTAGAACTAAGTTTTGGTTTACTTAAGTTGCGTTCAATTAGAGTTAAGAATTTGTCTTTTCAACTTTAGTTCAGTAATCAATTTTGATGGAGATCGAGTCAATGGATATTCGGCCGGTCCAAGAGAAAAGCCCATTAGGAAAACTCTAACCCTAAGGTTCTTATTCTACGAAAAATAAAAGGATGCAGACCATGGAGAAGGGGGCGGCCAAAGTAGATCTACACCCTCTCTGTACTATTCATTATCTTCCTCATAGAACTTCAAGCTCCATCAATGGCTATCACGCATATATACTGTACAAATACTCCATGAGATATAATAAAACACCCCCTTGGCATTGTACCGCCTAAAAAGGCATGTGGTTTTCTCCCGGTTTGGGTTTCTATGTAAATATCGTGTGTTCATATTTTTATATTTATTATCGTATATTATATTATATATTTAATATCTCGATGGATTAAAATCTATCAAATTTGTACTTAAAAGTACAACTAACTTTACCTTCGTGTTCAGTAAATTTTAATCCAAAATAATGGATTTTTTATAAATTATAGTTTTAAAAAAACTCCCTCCGTCCAAGAATAATCTTCCTACTCTACCTTTTTTCCCGTCCGAAAAAAATCTTCCTACTCTACCTTTTCATCCCAATTCTTCCTAAACTACCCCTCTTGTTAAATCTCAATTTCTTTTTTTGCTTTCTCTCCCCTTTTTCTCGGCCAAAGCCCTCATATCTCTATCTCGCTTCCCCAACTCCCCTCTTCTTCTTCTCCTCCTCCTCTGCCGATTCTTCTTCTCCTCCTCTTCTGATTCTTCTTCTTCACTTCTCTTTCTTTTTTTTTTCTCATCCTCATCTTCTTTCTCCCCCCACCCCCTCTTCTTTTCATACGCCTTCTTTTCTTTCTCCCCTCCTCTTCTTCTTCTTTTTCTTTTATATCTCTGCTAGATCTATGAGGCTGAGGTTACAGTGGATGGACTACATGGCGATAATAGACTAAACATCGGTGGTGGGAGCTGAGTTGGTGGTGGATCTACGGTAGATCTGGTTAGATCTGTGCTTAATCTTCTTCTCATCTTTCTCCCCCTTCTTTTTTCTCTTTCTCCTAGAGAT